ATATAAATTGAATTTTGGGAAACTTTAACGGTGCTGCCAACTTTGGAAAAAGTCATCCCAATTTACTGTGTTGAGTTGGCATTGTACAGAAATGGATAACCATATTGGTCTAGAAATGTTAATTTATTTTTATTTTTTTTTCCATGTGTACAGGGGTAACACATCGTACTAAATATGTAAGGTCATATCTACGTGGGTTTGATTACAGAAACTAATAAAGTATTCTCTAAATAATGAAAAAAAGAATAAGATAAGACTATAAGAGCGAGAAGCAATTTAAATATGTTCAGGGGCCATTTTCATCTCCAGAATTAAGGATTATTTGTATGTTACATCATTGCCTTTTCTCTTTTACTTTCCTTTTTAGTTTTATTTTAGGATTCCCTATTTTTAATATTTATGCAGAGATTTCTTTAACTGAAATACCGAATAGTTTCTCTGGTGTGAAAAACTATAATAGTACACAGGATCCTAATGAGATAATTAATAATGTGAAATAGGAAGTAAAGGGCTAAAGGTGTAGGGAAAGTGGGAAGGGTGGGGGAAAGGTAATAAGGGAGAGGAAAAAAATAGGAGAAACTGAAAAAATGGAAATAAAGTGTTTGTAAATGGGGAGGGGAGAAGGGGGTGAAGGGAGGGCAGGGACAAGGGGAAAAATGAGAATCAAGACCTATTATGTAAAGGTACAGAATCCCAATGATGAATGTAATTGTATTGTATACCTAGATAGTACCAATAACCTCAATAAAAAGAAAAAAAAAAAGAATGAGAAACTAGAGGCATTTATAGCTAAATGGATGCATATTGAGGCCATACTCTTAAGTGAAATAAATAGGACACACTTGAGTAAATGCCTAGTAGTTTCTCTGGTGTGAAAAACTAAAAGTGTAAATAAGGTTCAAATGGTATAATTGATAGTGTAAAATAGGAAGAAAATGGCTAAAGGGGAAATGGGAAGGGAAGAGGAAAGGAAATAAGGGAAAAGAAAAAACGTGAAAAGGAAAAATGGAAACAAAGTCTTTGTAACTAGGGAAGGGTGAAGTGGGTGAAGGGAGGGCAGGGATATGAGGAAAAAGTAAGAACCAAGATGTATCATGCAAAGGTACAAGATCCCAATGGTAAATGTAACTGTATTGTTTGTTTTAAATGTATCAGTAAACTTAATGGGGAAAAAAACAAAAACAAAAAACTAAATTGTTCAAAGGATAAACTGACCATTGCATTTCATTCCAGATTATGTACAAGATGATTGAAATGTCTGCCATAAAAACTGGAGTCTTCAATACACTGATCAATTACTGCTGCCAATCTTGGGTAGTATCTGACTCCAAGGGATCTTTATCCACTGCCAAAAATTATAGCGAACTCGTCCTGGAAGCTTGTATATTTGGAACTGTGTTTAGACGTGATCAGAGGTAAAATGCCATTTTTTTCAAGTTGTCATAACTTAGATTAAATAGACATTAGAGTAAATACACATGGAATTATGTCTTTGCTTTGAGGCTTTAAACAGAAGACTGTAAAGTATGAGTTAGTTGAGGACTTTCATTTTTCTTCTTCATCTAATCCTGTTCTTTTTCAAATTTTTTATGGAAAGACTTATTCAGGATGTACAAACCTTCGTAGAAAATCTTGGACAGGACTGTGCTGCAAATGTTGTTATGGAAAAGTAAGTGTGGTAGGTTTATTATATCTTGACAAATGAGATATTTCACATTTAATATTATACAGCAAATATTCTGTTTTTGTCAAATTTAATAAATACTAGTGACACTGTAAACTATTTTAAGATATTGACCAGTCCCTCAGAAGTACATTAGAAATCATTTTCCTTGAGCTGGACTGTAGCTCAGTGGTTGAGCACTTGCCTAGCACGTGCAAGGCCCTAGGTTCCATCCCATGCACCTTACTTTTCCCCCCAAAATCATATAATTGCTGATATATTTTGTTCACATCTTTCAGTATTTACTAAAATTTAGTGAGTATCAGTAAACATGGTCTTGTGTAAATAAGCAAAGTCTTGTATAAATAAGGAAATTCCTTTGGAGGGCATAAAACTCACATCCTCCTCTCGGGAGCTGTTCATCAGTACACATGCTTTATTCTTCAGTTTTATAAAATCAGTCATACAATTCATAACCAAATGAGTCAGTAGGTTATGCACAAAAATAGAATCACTGTGGAAATGGGTCCTTTTTAAAAAAATTTAAACCTCTTACTGAAGTATGATTGACATGTCAGGTTGTATATGAACCACTTGGTGAGTCTGGGGATAGACTGAAGGGTTTGATTTCTAGGATTTTTTGGAGTTTGTGAGATACCTTTTTTTTTTTTTCAAGTTTTACTTTTTCACCCATAGCTTCAAAACTGTATTTATAAACATGATTGAAAGTGTTGTATTCTCTGTGATTCAAGTTTAGAACAAATAATTATTTTATACAGTGATCACAAAAGTTTTATTATTCTGAGAGTGCTAAATATATTTTAAATCATCTGCCAGTCTTTATTAAGTACATGTATTTTTTTTATTATTGGTGTTAATTTTTTGTTTTTCTATCTGGTTTAGTGTAGCAATAAAAGAAATTTTCTAGTGAACGATTGTGAAATACTTTGATTTCTACTACACAAACACTTTGTTGTTAAAGTGACATTTATTCACATTACAGCAGTTAAGATGAAATGTGGAAATAATTGATAATTTTACTTAATTTATCTTCTACATTTGACTGCTGGAAATGCTGGGCTGTTCAGAGCACACAGTGCTTTCAGAGTTCACCCCCACTTAGAGGAAGTGCATTTGTAGATGCAGTAAAGACAAGCTGTTGGCTAGTTAGTGTCATAAGCAAGGGTCTGTTTTCTCTACACAGATATCAATGACCAGGACCAGTAGTGTATGTGTTGTTTTTCTAGAAATCTGTGTGAATTTGTGCTCACTCATACTTTCTGAACTCTGAACTCACTCTCCTTTTAATGTATTCATTTGTTTCCTTCTGTTATTCTGAATTAAAAAGTATTGACATACTAGTCAGCTTTCCTATCACTGAGACACCATACAAGACACCCACAGCTTAAAGGAGGGGAGAGGTTTAATTTAGCTCATCTTTTTTCTTTTTTGTTTTGATATCAGGGATCGAACTTGGGACTTTGTGCTTGTGAGGCAGGCGGTGACACCACTGAGCTAAATCCCCAGCCCTAATTTGGCTCATATTTTAAGGGAGTCCAGTCCACAGTCAGCTGGCTCCAAAGCAAAAACATGATAGAGGAAGGGAACAGTGCAAGAACCAGACATAGACCAGGGTTGCTCCTCCATGATCTACACTTACAACCTGGGAGTGTGCTCTGCAGTCCCCTGGGTGGATCCCAACCCAACTGAGGCTACATGATCAGGCTTGACCATCAGTCATTAAGTGTGGACCTACTTAATCTTAAATAACTGGGTGGTGGGCAGATTGGTATTTGTTAACAGTATTTTTAAAATTAATATTTAATGTATTTTTCAATTTTCAAAATATATGAATGTATAAAACAAGTTCATTTTATGTTTTTTAGTACTAAAAGAGAAGACTATTATGTGAGAATCTGTGCTGTCAAATTCTTGTGTTTATTAGATGGCTCAAACACATCCCACAAGTTGTTTATAGAAGATATTGCAATGAAGCTACTGGATAAAGTAAATATGTTTTATTTTACTTTAATTATCTTTATTTTTAATAGATCAAAACCAATCATTTGTTTTTCATGGTGCTAGAACATGTATTTCTAAATATTTTTTAGGAAGAGAAAACATGAAGTCTGTGTTTTGGGTTTTTTTTTTTTGGTACGAGGATTGAAGTCAGTACCAAAGCTAAATCTTTGGCCCTGGGTTCTGTATGTTTAGTAAGTATTGATTAGTAACTGTCTGGCTTGGTTCCTGGTGCCCTCTGAGCCTCAGCCTGTGTATTTCCCAGCACCAGCCCAAACCTGCTGTGCTTACGTGCTGCATGCATAGGAACAGAACAAGCAGATCAACATTTGGGGAGCATCAGAATGTGAAGATTTTACTGCTATGACTTCAGGGTCCATATCATATCTTAAATCTGGTTTAGAATGATTATCTGAGATAGATGAAAATTTCTTACTTAAAAGAAAACAGTCATTTTTGAAGGCTGATAAATCATTTATAAATGAACAGAGTTTCTGAAAAATGGGTTTAATAAATCTGGGAGGTTTGTGACGCCACATGCAAAGCCCTGTTCTGTTTTCACTCTTCAAGTGGCACATAGAATTTGAAGCACAGATGGAAGAGTCCTTTCTCTGCTCTGACCTCTGAGACACTTCAGGGACCTGCATTAAAATAGGAATGGTTACCATACTATTGTTTTCTGAAAGTAGCAGATCAGCTTTGTTACATGAAACCCACAAAGTACTTTTCGCTCCTTTGTCTTTCCTTGGTGGGATTTGGGGCCATGACCCAGAGGAAAGTACACATGCGCACACACATGCACACACACACATGCACGCACCTTTGAGCGCTTATGACATTAAGAATTGAATTCAGAGGGCTGGGGATGTAGCTCTGGCGCTGTGCCTGCCCATCAAGTGCAAGGTCCCGAGTTTGATCCCCAAAAACAAAAAAAAAAAAAAAAGAAATGAATTCAGTGCCTTCACAGTGAGTTACACCCAGCCCTTTTTTTATATTGAAGTAGGACAGGGTCTTACTAAGTTGGCCAGGCTGGCCTGAACTTGCACCTCTCTCGCCTCAGTCTCCCAGAGTGCTAGGATTATAGGTATGTGCCACCATGCCTGGCACGAAGCTGTTTATTGGTGCCTCCAGGATAAGAGGAAATTAAAAGTAGGGGAGTGGATATTCTATTGGAATGGAAAATTCATGTGATGGTGTTCAGTTGGCTGTTGCAATAAGGATCAGGGAGGGCCTCTCTACAAGTTAGTGTTTGGCTGATGAATTGTCAGAAGGTAGAAGGATACCAGGCAGTATGGTGTGCAGAGCCAAGTGAGGAAAGTGCTGTATGTAGGAAAAGGAGTCGCCAGTGTCTCCTACCGTTGGTTACTGACAAAGGAGATTTTGAAGAATCGGAACTAAAGCAGAAACGATTGAGCTTGAGCAAGTGGAGACAGTGCATACAGCACTCTTAGGAGTTGGCAGTGAAAAGGAAGTAGGTGGTGGGGCGGCTCCCGAAGGGGGACCCGGTAAGGAAGATGCACAGTAATTAGTGCATGTTAGTGTGCTGAAGGAACCCACCCAGTAGGCAGGGAGAATCATACTTAAGGGGAGACCAACATCACACAGGCAGTGGCCCCTAGCAGCCACCTCACACCCACAGGGGTGGCTACAGAGAACAGCTGAGGACAGTGAGTGTTGGGGAGGAGAGAGATATCTTGGGCCTCTCCTTTGTGCCTGGTAGATTATAAAATGGTGCTGTCACTTTAGAAAACAGTTGTAGGAAAAAGCAAATGACTGTCTAGGGCAGCAACTTTCAGAGTCTTCTGTGGACAACAGTGCCAGCAGAAGCCTGTTAGGATTGCAGATCTCTAGGCTGGCCCCCGCCTGAGGGATCTGAACCTGGGGAGTGCAGTTGGCTTTTACAAGCCCATACTATGACTAAAGCCCAAAGGATCAGTGAGTCTCAGACCCCTGGGTGACTCAGAAGCAGGGAGTTTTTAAATGGCTTTGAGAGAGGAGTGAAAAGACTGGATTGTGCTCCTGAGGAAAGGGTGGGGATTATTCTACTGGGGCAGCTTGGATCTGGAGGCTCAGGAAACTGGGACATGGTTGACAGACTAACGGAGAAAGTAAATGTCTTTCTGGATATTGAGTCCAGTGAATAGATCAGGGACAGGAGGGAAGACTTTGAGTTGACAGGGAATCTTAGCACTTCATTGTGAGGACTGGCACTGTAACTCTTGAAGCCCATGGGCAGGCTTCTGAGAGGTTTGTTGAGGAACAGGTGCTTCTTTTAAATGCAGGAGGATCCACCCTCATGGTGTAATGTTCAGTGTTCAGTTGCACTGAGCCTGAGCAACACTTGAAATCTAAAAATGCCTGTTAGAAGACAACTTCCCCAAAGAAATAACAGTGATAGAAGAGGTTGTGAGATTCTGGTCATTTTTTAATGTCTTAAGTTTGTATTCATTTGACTGATCTTGTGGTGTTTAATACACTCACAGATGTGTAAGTTGTGGTTACTAGAGGAGGATGATCCCCACTGACAGAAATGGCTTTGGAGGTGATGGATGACTTTTCCACCCTGAAAGCATTTGAAAGTGTAAACACTCTTCAGTGCAGTTTGAATCAGCAGCTAAAGTACCAAGACTTATGACAGAAGTTAACTTTGAGGGCGTAGGTTGTGGCTCAGTGGTAAGGTCCTAGGTTCCATCTCCAGCACTACAAAACAAAAACCTCATGGCTGCCTGAGTTTAGGTGGCACAGACCATTGAAATCTCTCAGAGCACTGTGCTGATGTTGAAAGGCTTCGTGCTGCCATCGTGTGTCTAAAAATGGCATTGCACTGACATTTCCTGTGGTAATTTAGTGGTTTTTGTAGCAAAGATAATCCAATGGGAACAGGACAAAAGGTCCTAAAATGAGCTATATGGGTACCACTATGTTGGTGCATTATAATATCTTGTAGCTCTCAGTCTCTGTCTCCTCTCCCTGTGATCCATTTCTCCCAGTTTTATGGTTTCTTAATTTAACACGAAATTTAAACAAAAGCAACTAAATGTATTGATATGAACGAAGATTTTTTTTTTTTCGGTACTGGGGATTGAACTTGGGTTCTTGCATTTGCAAGGCAGGCCACCGAACCGCTGAGCTAAATCCCCAGCCCTGTGAAAGAAGATTTTTTAAAGTATCACTGCTTATGTACTACCTGCTTTTGGAGAAACAAAAGGTTACTGTACCCATTTTAAGTCTTTTAACTGTGAAATTGTTGCTGGTTTTGTTTCTGCCCCACCAGGATGAGTTGGTGTCCAAGAGTAGAACTCGCTACTATGAGAATTCTCTCCAGCATCGCGTGAAGAACCGGATATGGCAGACTCTGCTTGTACTTTTTCCCAGTTTTGATCAGGTATAACATTTATTACAATTCTACCTTATAAGCCTTAATGTTCCACCTGCATAAACTATTTTGTAGAAACTGTCATGTGCTTTTTTAAAATTGAGAAGGTAATGTTTAAAATTTATGCCTCAGTATATAAAAAGGAAACTATTGAGAAATATTTTAATAGGATACTAAGGAAGTGAGGCGTTGTAGAAATAAATTGGAAGTTGATTTACATGGCCTCACTTTATATTTTTCCTTCAGTGTTTTAATGTAACACTGTAAATGTTTAAAGGCTTAAATGCCATTTGACTAGGAAACATAAATGCTGAACTCTTCATTTCCCATAGCACAGCTATTTTGGATTATTATGTTTTGGATTGTCTATTTTCCAGAACCCAGGAGAATTGCAGTATTTGGGTAGGATTGTTTCCATGGTGGATTTTCTTGCCCTCGTGTGTTAAGGCCACACACACCAGCTCAGCAAAGGCCTGGCTCTTCCTCTGCTGCAGAGTCCCTGTGTCCCAGTTCCCTTTTTTTTTGCCCTGGGAGGCAGAGAAAATTCAAGTGGACTCTGTCTGGTTTTCCATCCATTCTTGATCCTGTAGAAAAAATGTTCCTCATGATGAGGAAGTAACTGTGACTCATACAATTTTAAAGATGATTTTTGAAAGCAAAAGATTTTCTCAGACTTTAAAGTTTCCTACATCCTCCCCACCCTCTTTTCAATATGAGGAAATTTAAAAAATACAACAGCCTCTTTTTACTGTAGGTTTTTTTTTGGGGGGGGGTACCGGGGATTTTTTACTGTAGTTTTATGACTCCTTGGGTTCTGTGAGAGAGGACACTTGAGGGACAGTGTGTGTCCATATATTTGTGTAAATGTCTGAGGACAGCTGGAGGGGCAGGGTGCCTCTTAATATGTGAATTTTTAAAATGCTATATGTAATGCACTTCATTCCATATAAAAATTCTTTAAAAAAACATTCTGGAAGTGTTTTACAAGGTTACTGAAAGCATACTTTCTTGACTCCCATAATATCTGAGGGCAGCCATCTACACAGGGCCTAAAAGGAAAACCAAGACTAGTGTGTCTGTTGTGGAGAGCACAGCTGAGTGTCTCCAGTTGCTATATCTTACCATATCACTTAGTCTTCTGAGTAGTCTTTCAGAGACAGGCATAAATATTCCCACAAGGACACTGCAGAGAAGCGAGGTGACCCTCCAGTGAGGGACATGGCTAGGGGATGGTGGAGATGGCCCTCAAAGACAAGCCTAATGCCAGAGTTCATGCTCCTTGTTTTAAGATTTAAAATGAGCTTTTCTGCTCTTTTCCTACTCAGTACAAGTTCTGTTAAGGTAGATTTTTTTTCTTTAAAAAAAATGTATTATTTTTAATATGCTTAAACAGATTGTCGTTCACCTGCTAGTTAGATATGATCCATTAGTTGGAGAGAAGTACACTTTTGAACAGAAGGGTAGAGAAGCACACAGATGATTTTGGAGCACCAAGTCTTGGCCTGAGGTCAGCAGTGTGAGGGGCTGGAGAGATCCCAGTGTGGGAGGGTGCACAGCCTGAAGACTGTGACTTTGTCTCCCCTCTGATGTGGCCTTGAGTACCGTGGTCTCAGAGGTTGAGGTTTGTTTCTGAGTCCTGCACTTCATAAGTATGTGGCTCCCAGAAAGTTATTCAGCTTCTCTGAATCTTCTCCTCCCCCAGGAAAAGCACAGAAGATGCTGATGTCCCTCTTAGGATTAATGTCCAAGTAAATCATAGAGAACTCAGTTTCAGTTCACACATTTTAGGTGTTTGTGTGGAAAGTGTGGAACTAACTTATAAGAAACCTTTTAATAATGGGGACTTTTAGAAAACTAAAATCAATAACATCAGTGTTGTGAACTTTATTTTTCTCAGAATTTCTTGAATGGAATTATTGACAAAATTTTTCATGCTGGTTTCACCAACAATCAAGCTTCCATCAAATATTTTATCGAATGGATTATTATATTAATTCTTCATAAATTCCCTCAATTTCTTCCAAAGTTCTGGGATTGCTTTTCTTATGTAAGTAAAAGAGACTTTTAATGCTTTTCTAAGCTCTCATTTTGACTGTAGTTGTTTTTGATTGTCAGTTGCTCTGATGTATTGACATTCTAAATTGTGCTTTCATGTTCCGAATTAATTTGGGAAACAAATCTCTGGCTTGAGTGTATCATAATTTTTTTTTTTTGAGGGCTGTTCTAATTCCAACAAAACAAAAGTAGAAAGGCTTTTTGTTATTGAGCAGTAATCAAGCAAGTCTTTATTTGATCTTAGAATAAGAAGGGGAATGGGATAAAACAAAATTTATTTAAAAAAATGAAACATCTACTTTTCTCCTCCCTCTAAGGGGAATAAAAAGAATGACGCATTCCTTACTTTAAAAAAACTCATGAGTAGGGAAGTTTCAAGTAAGACTGAAGCAGAACAGTAGGGAATCCTGTCCCCATTTCCATCCTGGTATAACTTGTGCGCCTGCCCACTGTTTCTTCTGATGCCTTGAAAATAACTCGAGGAACTGACGCCAGGATTGGTGGTGGAGGCCACAATGCAGGCTGCTTGCCTTCTGTGTTCCATTTACCTTCTGTACTGAGTCACACTGGTCATCTTGGGTTTTGCTTTTTTTTCTTGTTTGTTTTTTTTTTAAAACCTCTTTCTTTGTGTCTGTGTGGGGGTGGCAGATGGAGAATCAAACCAGGGGCCTTCATTCCCCTGTCACTGTATTTTGAGAGGGAATCTCACTGAATTTCTGAGGCTGGGCTCCAACCACTTTAGGTTCCCGGGGTGCTGGGATTACAAGTGTGCACCACCACACCATCTGGTCCCCTTTTCTGCTGCTAGACTTCCCCAGCTCAGTGGTGTGCACAGCAGTGTGTGTGATTCACAGTGTTGCCTGGTCTGGCAGGTGCTGCTGCTCTGTGTGTCCTGCAGGGCTGGGACTTTGGTAGCATTTTCATTCTGCATTCTGTTGGCCAGAACTTGTCCCCTGTCGAGTGGCTGGCCCTCTCTACCTGGTGGTTAGTGGTTCCAGGACAGAGCACTCAGGAGGACATGTCCCCATGTGCAGTCACCCTGCTTTTGGTTTGGCCTGCTTGAGGGTCTCATTGGCCAGCGAAAGTCCTATAAGCAATGCTCCCAAGGTGAATGGGGCCTGATTATTTGGATTTGGACTCTTTTTTTCTACTTTTTGTTTTGTTTTGTTTTTTTGCTGTATTAGGGCTGGAACTTACAGCCTTCACCCTGAGCTCTATCTCCAGCTCTTTTAAAAATTATTATTTTTGATCTTGAGACGGGGTCTTGCTAAATTGCCTCGGCTGAGGCTGCAATTCTGATCCTCCTCCTTAATCTCCCACAGTGATCTGATTCCAGCCCTTTTAATCTTTCTGATCTTTTGCCAGTCCTTTTGCACCCAGGCCACTGCATGCTGTGTCCTCTGCTGGAAGCCAAGACTTTCTCCTCATCTGGATGGCCCTCCTCTTGTTCATATCAGGTGCTGATAGATAGCCTCCCTGAGTATTTGGATCCCCTCATTTGAGGTTTCCTATAGCACATAAATCATACTTCCCATGAGTAGAGCTTTAATCTTTGGTGTATGCTTTTCCTCCCCACGAGGTCCTTGGTTCTGTGAGAGTAGGGAATGGTCTTGTTCTGCTTCTCCCATTACCTAAGTACCCATCCCGTTGTTAGATAAAGGAACTCATCTCCCACATCTTCCTGCCTGAGGTCTCTTTCCTGTCTGGCATCGCTCAGTTTCTTATCACTAAAGTAGTAGATGACTCCAAATCAGTGTCACTGAGGAGGTTTCCAGGGTCCAGTTTATCACTCTTGTGTAGCTTTGCAAGTCTTCCATGGTACGGTTCCACTTCACTTTGGAGCCTCGGTCCTGTCGCTGTCCTGCAAAGCTGCCGCATTACCTCTTCTGCCTCTGCCTCACACTGGCCTGTGCATCTGTTGTCCCACCCTTTTCACCCGTCCCCTCCTTCTGCTCCCCTGTGCCTGCTGCTTCTCCAAGGCCATCCTGCCTGTCCTGCAGGCCTTGCCTCCTCCAAAGGAGGCATGCCCTGGGCTCTGCCACTTGCTGTGTGTATCTGTAGCTGAGTGCTGTGTCCCTTGGCATTGGGTTCCAGGGGGCCCTGCTTTCTTGCTTCTGCTCCTGTGACCCCAACAGGGAAGAAGCTGCCTCCCTCCTCTGCCCTTCCAGGGTCTGGTGTGGTGTTGTGCAGTGCATAGCTCACTGCAACCCTGGAATTAACATCTGCCTATCTAATTCTCTTTCAGAGTGATGAAAAACTTAAGACAAGCGTTTGTGCATTTTTATCAGTTTTGTCCCATTTGGGCATCATCATTCAAAATATTCCAGATAAAGTAAGTTTGAATTATTTGAAGAGTTTAAACTTGAGTTTCAAAGTTGAATTGTACATGTTTGTACCACTTTTGGGTGTTGCTGTGTGGGCCAGGCTGGCTTTGGCGATCCTCTGCCTCATCCTCCCTGGTGCTGGGATTAGAGGTGTGCGCCACCACAGCGAGCATCATCTTTATCACTCGGTCCTCACCTGTACACTGTTGCTGACTTAATAGGCACATTAATAGGTGACTGCTGTTGATGTAAATGATTTTTGATTTTATGCAAGTATTAAGATTCTTTACATGGGATTTGCCTTCTTTCCTTCCTTCCTCCCTTCCTTGACCGAATGAGGGTGATTTACAATAATGGGGGTTATTTTCTCATGGAGAGACTCTCATGGGAACCCCTTTGAGGAGAGGTTTGTAAACAAGACCCAGGAGAGGTGAGCAAGGAGGCCTGCCAGACTGGGTCAGCTGAGGGGGTCCCCCAGATGTAAGTGGTCTTACTGGAGCAAGGTGGGATCCATGGCACAGCATAAAGGAAGGGAAAGGCCCCAGGCAGGTTGTCCAACAGCCAGAAGGCCTTCTGTCATGGCCCTGGGGACAGCAGTCCTGTCACCAACAGTGCTCAGGTTCCTTCTCTTGACAGTCCTCACCTAATACGGAAACCAAGGCGATGACACCGCCCTGCAAAGCTGTGCACCCACAGAGCAGTGCACGTGAGATTGGTGTGTGTGACATTTGTGGTGCATGAGGTATGGTGTGGGGCGCAGTTACTCTGGCGCAGATGTCACGTGTGCTGTGTGACATTGTGAAAGATTCTGGTGTGTTAGTAATTTGTTATTTACCTTGCCTTTTGCCTCTCTTCCTAATTTTCATTTTGTCTTAAGAGACTTTGTCATTGTGGTTGACCTGCTTACCTGTTGGCTGCTAGGATATAACTATACGCTTAGCATGTGTCCTATGGAAATTTTGTCTCCCCTGCTACCTTTGGAATTTTTCTTGGATCTTCTGTCTAGCCAAGGCGATCTGTTTTCCTTTCTCCGTATTTCTTTAGTTTTCCCTAGTGTGCCCTTGCTCTGTGTCCCTCCCCTTCCTGCGTGTGGCTTTGAAGTACCTGTTGTAGGGATACATGATGATTACAGCTGTTTGTCACATGAGATGGCTGCATGAGGTATGACTGAGAATACAGTGAATATTTAAATTAAAAATGTAAATTTTTATTAAAGTAAAAGATGCATTGCCATCAGTTCCCCTTAGAATATTCTGCCTCACTTTGAACACACCCTGTCATTCTTGCCACTTTCTAAAGCAGCTGTGGAAGTCCTTTGTCATGTTTTTACAAGGTGGGAACAAATTCAGTGAATGCGGCTGCAGGGTGACATCCCAAGGAAAGGCAGCTTTGTAAAAAACATTCTGGTGTCCTTATTCACTGGATCTGGCACCCTGTAGCCTCTGGATCTTCCCACAGTCAGAGTGACCATGAAAGGTAAATGCTTTGAATCAGTTCATGACAGAGAGACATGGCAGCACATCTAGTCATGACAGAGGACTTCCGGAACTCTTCAGAAAGTGGCGGGAAAGATGGGATGTGTTTGAAGGGAGGGAAAGTATTTTGAGGGGATTAATGGCAATAGGTCTTTTACCGTAATAAAAATTTTAATTTAAGCATAGTATTTTTCTATTAGACCTGGTGTGTGTGTGTGTGTGTGTGTCCCACAGCATTGCAGAGCTCGCAAGACCATGACCTTAGATAAATGCCAGTGATGTGTTGAGTGAAGGATTGAAAGGATTTTTGATATTTGTGTTTTATTCTCATAGAATCTTAGGATAATTGAATTGTGTTATAACCGTGCTGACCTACCTGGTAAATGACTCTGGACGTGGTGGTGGTTAATCAAGAGAAACTAACCATGGGGCTTTGGGCTAGGTGCAGCCCATTGAGCATTTCTAGATGACCTGTGGAGGGAGGCATTTGGTGGGAGCATCACATAGCTTCCGATGTCCATTTGGTGTTTTAAAACCATAGGATTTTCAAAATGAGGTGGGGGTATTAATGCATCAGATCTTCAGGCTTTGAGGACCTGGATTCACAGGAAAAGAACACACTCAGTTTTAAGCATTTCATTTTCCTGACCTCTGACTTTTGCTGCCACTGCTCAGTGTTGTGTGGCCTAAGATCACCACAGAGAAAGACAATAGCTCGGAAGCCAGTGACAAGCAGGAAGACAGGATCCTGTGGTATCTTGCTTAGGGGCACCTCATGGGTGACCAGAAGTGGGGCTCCTGCAGCACAGTTTTAACACTTCCACCCCAGATTGGTAATTCATTTCCAGAACAAGGGCAGGAGCTATCTCAGGTCAGCATCAAAACTCTTGCCCAAGTCTGCCTGGGATGGACCCAGGGGTACATTGTAGCAGGGATGAACACAGGGGCCCAGGGAACCTGTTTTTGTTTTTGAGAAAATCAGGGATGGTGATGATTCACTGTCGGGGGAAGGAATGAGAATCAGCCAGCCAGTGATGCGAGCCATCCCCACCACACAGTGCAGCTGAGATACAGTGTTCATGTCCTCTCTCCACAGACACCGCTGCTGAAGCAGGCCCTGCTCATCGCGCTGCAGTGGTGTCTCAGCCACAACTTCAGTGTTCGGCTGTACGCTCTTGTGGCTCTCAAGAAAGTGTGGGACGTGTGCAGAGCACTAGGTGTTGAAGAGTATAATGCGTGGACTACTGTCATCGAGCACAGCCTCAGCCAAGCGGAGACCATACAGGGAGCAGGGTAAGGGCGGCTCATAAGGCCTGAAAGACAAGGAGGGTCAGGCCGGGGATTTAGCTCAGTGGTTTGGAGGCCTGCCTTGCAGGCGCAAGGACCTGAGTTCAATCGCCGGTACCCCCTCGCCAAAAAAAAAAGACAACGAGGGCCGGACCCCATCCTTGTACATTGATGAGCTGTTACACCACACTGGGCACAGACAGCTTGGGTTAGGTTGGAGCTTGCTCTTCAGTACACACCCTAGTGACCTTTCCAGATGCTGAACCCACCCGGACCTTGTATTGCTCTTTATCCTTGATCCTTTATTTTATGTGACCCCTTGCATACTGTACTGTTGGTGTGACTCTGCTTAGCAGGCATCTCCTCCCTCTGCTGCTTTTAGACGCCCACAAGTCAGCAGGAACCGACCTCAGAATGCTCTGCTCCTTGGCTGCCCCACTTCTAGCCCCAGGCGTCCTGTTCAGTGCAAGGCAAACTCTTCATTCCCCAGACTCCTTCCCCATGACATGCAGTGCCCAGCAGGAAGGTGCTGCTGAAGCTGGTGCACATGGCCCAGGGTTCTGTAGAGTCTCTTGGTGACTGGACATGAATCTGTTCTTGGTCCCACTCATGTTGTCTCTTGCAGATCACAGCGTCCTAAGCTTCTCTTGGGATCTGAGCTTGTTTCCTTGTCTCCAAAGTATTGCTTTGTTTTGCACCTTTTTATTATTTTTGATTATCACCATCCTGGAGTGCTGGACTTTTGTGAATTTGAGACCCAGGCAGCATCAATCCATGTGAAAGGTTTTTCTTGAGGTGCTCAGAGAAGTACCACTAGTTTATACACACAAACAGAAAAGGTCAGAAGAGGCATATTAGGCCAGTGAAACACTTGGGGTTTTGCTGTGACTACCCAGTGAGTACTTGGTACAGCAAGTTTTGAGTAGGAGTTTGCCTTTACCACAAAGTCAGGTACAACTCTCAGCTCCTTTGTTCTTATCTTCCCCTGCCCATTCTACCCACTTTGGTACTTGGGATTGAGGCCAAGGCCTTCACACTGAGCTGCATTCGCAGCTTTTCTTGGAAACAAGGTCTTGCCAAGTTGTCCAGGCTGAGCTTGATCTTGCAGTCCTCTTGCATCAGCCTTCCTAAGCATGGGATCACAGGCACGTTAGCTTTCTTCCCTGACTCTTGACATGTGGGTGAACAGGAGGCATTTGGATGATTGGGGTGGGGCAGAGCTCAGGAGAAAGTAGATTCACCAGACATCAGGACTGAAAACTGCTCTTTGAGACAGCACAGGGGAAGGGGGTAGAGGAGACAGGTGGGCTGGAGGTTGGGTTAGTATAGATGATGGATGATGGGCAGAGTGCAAAGGTGCATGTGCTCAAGTGCACAAATGTATGCACTTGTGTGTGTGTGCGTGTGCGTGTGTGTGTGTGTGGATCTTGCCTGGGATCTCTATAACTTCCCAGGAATAACCTGGCAGCTAGAATTACTGATCTTTGTAAAAGACCTTCAGTGTGTCATTTCCTCCAGGTATACATGTATTTACCAGATATTTGGTACATGTGTAGCTGAGTTTGTTTACATACATAGATTTAGACATTGATATTTTTCAGGATCACCTTGGCATTAACATGTAATGATTCAAACTCAAACTACAAAAGTTCCTAATTATATAAATGTTTTGGGCTGGGTACGTAGCTCAGTATTAGAGCACTTACGTAATATGCCCAAGGCTCTGGGTCTGAGCCTCAGTTCTGCAGAAAAAGAGAGAAATTTTTGCAGAAAAGAGCTTTCATAGTATGTTGATCTTAGAGATATGTGTACATAAGTCTAGAATTAAATCTACACAGATCTGCATTCCCTTTGAATTGTGCCAAACCTCCTTAAGATTTTTGATTTCCCGGTTACCAGAGTTATTTAATGTCTTATCTATGCCTGTTGCCGTATTCTTCATCCTTAGGAATGCCAGGAAGAACTGGCAACGCATCCAAGAGCATTTCTTTTTTGCAACATTTCATCCACTGGAGGATTACTGTCTGGAGGTGAGCATGCCTGACCCCTTTACAACCTCTAGTGTGCCCATAATCCTGGCGCTGCCTTTCCCCCACAGCAGTGAGTGGTTAGGATCTCATTGCTTCTTTCTCTTTGCTTATAAACATCACCTTAACACTGTAAAGTTCTGAGTTTAACTTTGTTAACTTTATGCAGATGACTTGCTTGTCACTCCTAAGTGGTGAAATTGGCTTGTCACTTTGACTTTCTATTTCTCAGGCAGTGTCTGGCTTGTAAACCCTGGAAGGGAATATTTAACTCTAAACAGAAATCAGAACAGATTTCTAAAAGGAGATGAGGGAGAACATTTGTGCAGGTGAGATTTTACTGTACTGAAGCCAACTGTTAATGAAGGAGCACAAACATCTACTCTTCTGTTAATGGCATTTTTAGGTTCTGGGTAATAAAAGTGATATACCACTTGTGGATTTTAACTAAAAAACTATTAAAACACTTATTATAGTTAATATGAATTAATTCAATATGTAAACACTAAAATTTCCATAAACCAAACTTTGTCCCTTTCTCAACTTTTAATGTGCCACTATTGAATTTAAATCATTTGACCTAAGACTATTTTCTTTAAAGATTTGTAGCTTTGGCTACTGTGTATAGTGTTTTTTAATTCATAAACTGGCCATTAAAAATATTTCTATATAATGAAATAAACATCATGGAATACTAACTGTTTTTCTGCTGCTTTGTTGCCAATATGATTTTTATTAGAATAAAATAATTAGTGTTTTTCACATGCCCTGCTCGTGGGTCTCAGCTCCCAGAGAGTGCTGTCTGTGCACCTTTCCTGTGAGACCCTCCAGTAAATCTGTCGTGGTCATTAGCCTCTCCCGTGCCATTTCCCAGCAGCATTAGGTCCTTGGCCTTCCTCTTTACCTCACCCCTGCTTCCTCCTGCATCTTCTGCGTATTTTCTGTTAATGATACAAGTCAGAACTGTATGGGTAAAGTAATGAATGGGAGTTAATGGTTCCCAAGAACTTAATGTCTGGGGCTATACTGAGGACCCATGTGATAAGCAGTCAGTTGTGGACATTATGCTTGTTTAAATTTGCACAAGCAATGGCTACTCCAGAGGGAACCACGTTATTCTAAAACTTGCATAAAGACATATTGTGAATTTATTGTTTCATTCTTAAATTCCCTTTTGCTTGGGCTTCTGCCTCTTTCGCATCTTCTGGCTGATCATCCTCTGGTTCTCGATGCTGTAGCAGGTAAGAACAGAAGAGGAGGTTTGCAAAGGTCATGATTGCTCACGGTATGTTGCCTGTGAAGCCATTCATGGAGCACTGTCACGTGCTATTGTAATCCGATGTCACCCCCCCTTTAGAGGAGGGTTTGAAGCCTCAAAAGACTGCGTGGCTTGCCTGTGTCATGCAGTGAATTTCATAGTCCAGCCAGGATCAGACCCTACATGTGTCTAATGGCAGTGAGAGTAAAAGATGTGGCATCAGGGAGCTTGAACTTTTATCACTTCTGGAGGAATCTGGTTATGAGTAAACTGCCTTTCCCTAAATGTTGTCCCTTACTGGTAATGATTGATATCAAAAGACCACAGTGGTTTATCATATAAAGTGCCAGAGTAGATCTGCCTGTTTGCAGGGATTCCCTAATTGAATTCCTAACTTCTTAGAGAAGATAAGCATGTATACACAACTGCTACAGGATATAGGTGAGAGTATGTAATTGATCAGATATGGAATATATCAGTAGTAATAAATTACACAATTGACATGTTATATACTCCCCCCACCCCGCCAAGGAAAAACCACAAATTTTACAATTCTCTTTTCAGACCATATTTTACACCCTTCCACGGCTTTCAGGTGTCATTGAAGAGGAGTGGATCGCTGTTGGTAAATTCACTGGCTTCGCAGACATCCCTTCCAACACAGGATCCCAGTGGTACTTCTCTCGGACTCCACTGAGTGAGCTCAGTCCAGGGGACTGGTCTCAGCAGGACGTAGGTAAAAAGAAGCTCCACTTTATTTTCTCTCTGGTCGACTTGGTGACAAGATGCTTACTGATTTCAGAACTAGAAACAGATAGAACATGACTTAGAACAGATAGTCAGTAATGTCACTCTTTCACTACGTGGGCTCTGTGTGACTTTCCACTTAGAAAACAGACCATAAAAGGTGTGATATAGCTTTGACCATGACTTTAAGTTGAAAGTTAGCTTTTCAATAAAAAGCTAGACAGTTTGATCTGTTTTATACAAAGCTAATGATTTCTTTTTCTTTTACATTGTGTTAATATTATTTGCTTTTTTGTATATTTCCTATAAAAATACAAATTTTTTTTCCTCATTGAGTTTATTGGTACATTTTAGGTATGCAGTACAGTTACATTCATCATTGGGATCCTGTACCTTCACATGGCAGGTCTTGGTTCTCATTTTTCCCCTTGTCCCTGCCCTCCCTTCACCCCCTCTTCTCCTCCCCATTTACAAACACTTTATTTCCATTTTTTCATGTTCTCATATTTTTTCTTTTCCCTCATTACCTTTCCCCTACCCTTCCCACTTTCCCTACACCTTTAGCCCTTTTCTTCCTATTTCACATTGTCCATTATCTCATTAGGATCTTGTGTACTATTATAGTTTTTCACACCAGAGAAACTATTCGGTATTTACATGTGTGACTTACTTAAAAATACAAATTGTTTAAAGGGCTGAACTCTGAAATGTCTTTTGCCAGCCCTTTCAGGAATGGGGCCGAGCTCTTTCTGGTTCTGTTTGGTTGTCATTTCTCCATCTGTTCCTCCTGCCCTGTTGCGTTTTCCTCCCTTACAAATGAAGGAGCTGAGTCCTTCCCTCGGTGTCCTCCAGGACCCACTTTGTCCTCCTGTTGCTCCCTCCAACTCCTCCTTTTGTAGCAGTTGTCCTAAAGACCCAGGCCCAGGTGCTCCCCCGTTGGCAAGGTCTCAGGTAACCTTGGTGGCTGTGTGGTTGCAGCCTCCATTCGTGTCAGTCCCCCCTCGCCCCTGTGTCTTCCTGCAGCTCTCCTAATCCGTGACCATCATTCAGACTTCTTCAGAAAGTCAGCAGTGCCCTTCTGGGGTCCTTGTCAGATTCCAGGTGGGTGCTGTTCCTTCCCCCTGCTCTTCCTCCTGACTCAGGCTCTTCTCACTCCCCTGAGTTCTCCCCCTTTTGTCCCTCGTATTGGTGGGCTCTAAACTTCTGATGTTTGTAGGGATCCCTTGAAAAACTTGTTAAAAATTCAGATTTCACACACACGCACGCACGCACACATACACGCACTCCTCAGTTTTAATTTAGTTATCTCTGAAGGAGAATTCTGGAAATGTATAGTTTATCCAGCACTCTGGATGGTTCACTAATGCACACTGAGACATTGCCTTGAATTTATTGATTCAACAAAGATTGGTTGGTACCTCCTTTGTGCTGGGCATGAGACCAAGTCCCCACCCCTCACCCTTTTGTTCTTACATCAGTGTCAGCCATAAAGAAATAGAATACAATGTCAAGCAGTAAAAGTGCTATGAAAAATAATAAAGCAGGGTAAGTAGAGCAGAAAGATCTTTGTTAGGAGCCAACATCGAGCAGAGACCTCGATGAATTGAGAGCAAGGCAGGCAAAATCTGCAGAGGAACTTTCCCAGGGTGCAAGACAGTGGCAGGAGGCCCTTCCTTGCTCAGTGTGGCCAGAGAGAGACTGAGGAGAGGGAAGAGGGGTGACAGACACAGACAGTATTGAGTCCCCCACACAGCAGGGGCAGGGAAAGCAGGGGTTGTCTGGCTGGTGAACAGGCTGACCGGTCTTCATTTTGTTGTAGTGGTTTTGGTAGTGAGAGACGAGCTGCAGGAAGTTTCCTGAGGCTCACACACAGGTTTCCCAGAACACTGTCGCCTTTACCACTGCCTGCCCTTCCACAGTTCTCCTAAGCACTGTCGCCGATTTCCCTGCTTGGACCCCACCTGTGTAACTGTGGTAGGCTTCCAAATCCTTCTCTCTCACCCAGCCTCTTGCCTAAGCCAACTGGGCTTCTGCAACTGGATGTTCCATAAGCTATTTGCAGTCAACACAGCCAAACCTGCTTCCTCTCTGTCTCCTTTGTTGTTGGTGTCACCTGTCATCACAATGGGCATTCTTCCCTGACATATATACACCATACCTAGCCTTAGTGATCCAGCTTCTCCTCCTACTCCCACTGTCTGCCCTGGTTGTATAGTCATAGTTCAGACTCTTGACCTGGGCGAGAGCAGAAACTAGTGTATCCTCTGCCTTGGGTCAAAGAGGGATTTCTCTAAAGCAGCCTCAGTGCTGCCATCCCCCTTCTCGGAAGGCTCTGTGGCCCCTCTCAGTAGGTAGAACCTGTATCTTTATGCACAGAGACCTGGTGTGAGCTGGGTTGTTCCATCTGTTCCATCACAGGCTGAGCGCTACTCCTGAGACTTGCTGCTGCCCAAGTCATTTTTCTCCCACCCCATGCTTGAGCCCGTGCTGTGTCTGCTGTCCCCTCTGAGAACTCTGACCTCCTTCCCTCCCTGGTGGGTCATATCTTCGCTCCTCCCTCCTTTAGACGTTTGTCATTCTGCTCTCTGTGACACACCCTCACTCTCAGGCTGTTGTAGTTACCTGTGTGTCCTGTGTCCAGCAAACAGGGATTCTTGATGACTCGTTGATAGGCTGGAGTAGGATGGAGTTGGGAGGACCCTGCACCTTCTGGAGGACTTGGAAATAATACTCTAAGTCCTGCATCACAGACACCAGGCCTTGAAGATAGATGGCTTAAGATGGGCTGTGTGCTCATTGGTGTGGTCAGAGAGACTCCTTTACAGCACGTCCTTCATTTCAAGTACTAGTAAAATAATTTCAGATAAAGACTCTTTTTATATTGTTTTAAGTAATATATTTCCCTTAAAATTCTAATCTGATATACTGTTGTTTGTAAGATACACCATTACTTTATTTACTGCCAAGAAAAAAGTGTAGACATACTATGATACCCTTGGTTCTAAGTTGCTTTCCAATTTTGGATATGTTAATACTTGAAAAAATGTGCATCTTCTATTCTTATGAAATCTCACCATATATTGGTTAGTGCTGAATTTGAAAACTAAAAATTACTGTTTAAAATGGTAGTTGTGTTTGAATCAAAAATTCTCCATTAATGTGTAATTAAATAAATCTTATTTGAAACTCTTAAAAGTACATACAAATGTATAAATAAATATATGGAGAGAGTTGGCCCTGATACTGTTTACATGTGGAATTATTTTCTTTTTCTTTCCCAAGGTTCTAACATAGGTGAAGCAGCCAGCCAGTCAGAAGGGGCTGACGTCCAGAAAAAGATCATCCCTTGGAGACACGACGTCCCCGACGCAGACCTGGGGTTTGAGTTTCAGGATCGCGCTGCCAGACTTGGAAAGTCAGTCAGTAGGCTGATTGTGGTGGCCTCGCTCATCGATAAGCCGACCAATTTAGGAGGTAAAATCTGGGGAGCTTAAAACTTGGTGATGCTGGGTATGTCGCATTGGTCCACTGCCCTTTTCTGGCTGTCTTTCCCACTGAGGAATGTATGGGACCGGGTGAGACTGCTTGGCACCACAGTGGGGACAGTCTTGGTAAATGTAACTTCTCTGTGCAGGGCTGTGCCGGACCTGCGAGGTGTTTGGGGCCGCAGTGCTCGTCCTGGGCAGTCTGCAGTGTGTCAGTGACAAGCAGTTTCAGCACCTCAGCGTCTCTGCAGAACAGTGGCTTCCTCTGGTGGAAGTGGGTGTAAAGTAATTTATTATCAAAGCCTTTATTTGCTTTAGGCCTTCATTTATTAGGCCTTTTGCAGTAATTTATAAAAGTCTGGCCTTTAATGGTTTAATACTTAAAACTAAAATTCAGCCTTGCTTGTTCTTTTTCTTTTATTCTTAGAAATGTCAGTAAAATATGTCCTTTTACAGTTCACCATTGTTTAAGGATAATTCCTGTACATGTATATGAAGCTGAGGAATTCTTTTTGATAGCATATGATTATGTTGTTTCCCTTTTTGTAAAGCATTTTTAAACAGGTTTAGCTTAATAAATGTTTTTTTGCTAACTCTCGTTTTACTCCAAGCAGGGTGACAACTGAATGATTTAATATTCTGCTCTTTGTAAACTAATATTAAGGTGAAACCAGCTCAGCTAATTGATTATCTGCAGCTGAAGAAAACAGAAGGTTACACCATCATCGGGGTGGAGCAGACGGCCAGGAGCTCCGACCTGGCCCAGTACTGCTTTCCTGAGAAATCGCTCCTCCTGCTGGGGTGAGAAGAGCCCCCAGCCCACAGTCTGTCCTCTGAGCCCCACCTGGAAAATGTTAGCTATTTTGTAATTTACTCAGACCCCTAACATCATACACACTTTTCTTTTAGCTCACATTTGTGGAAACTTTTTTCCACCTGTCTGGGGTCCATCAGGTGAACACAGAACTGACCATTGAGTCTCTGTCACACACTTTCTTATTTCCTGGAACCATACTTGCTACATAGGTTAATCTCTGTTAGCAACATTCAGAATATCTAAGAACAAATTTATTTCAGGAAAACTAATGTCTGCCCCCTCGTCTCTTCCTCAGCAATGAGCGCGAAGGAATCCCTGCAAAGCTGATGCAGCATTTGGATGTGTGCGTGGAGATCCCCCAGCAGGGCGTCATCCGCTCACTGAACGTGCACGTGAGCGGAGCCCTGCTCATCTGGGAGTACACCAGGCAGCAGCTGCTCAGGCGGGCGGACCCGTCCTGAAGCTCGTGCCGTACCCAGCATGCGACCACTTTTAACAACTCTTCGGACAAATGAAAGGGATTCTGAAATTTACTGGGATGATTTGTATTGGTATTTTTGGGGGTGGGGGCCTTTTCATGCCAAAACTTTCTCATGTGCCTTAAAAAGATACTATATATTGTAATAAACACTTAATGGCTAAATTGTATTGCTTCTTTAATAAAATATTTTAAGCAGTTTTGAGGTAAAGCAGTGTTTTAGCATATACTTACTGTCCCAGAAAGACTGGTATCGTCAGGAATATGGACTGTGCTGGGAGTAAGACAGAGCTCAAGCAGCTTTAGCTGAGTCCCGAACCCTTCAGCCTTAAGGAAGCAGGAGCGGGTGCTGACTGGAGAGCATCCCTCTTCCTGCCCTTCACTCTTGGGAAACAGAGTGGCAAGATGCCTCGCCAGCTTCCTTGCAAAGTTTGAGTTCAGCTCCTAGGCTTTATTTTTAAAGCCAAACTAGGCCATCATCATTTGTATTAAGGTTTTATGGAATTTCTCAAATGTACCTTTGCTCAAAGAGATCAGATAATGATTAGAAATAATCTATTCTGAGAACTATGATTCTGAACCCAAAGGAGTTGACTATTCCTACATATCATTGTTGAAACTGAGAATGAAACCCATGAGTGTTGATTACTCTCTTTTCATTGCTTTAATAGTAACCATTTATCACCATCCAGAAATGAACTTCAGTTGTGTCAGGGTGCCTTTTAATAATATTTAAATTTCAGAGTCCACTACCTATGTGTTTTTTTTTTCTGTATATTTATTTTGAAATAATTGGTTTTGCAGAGGTATTCAAAAATGGGACACAAAACTTCCATGTACTTTCATAATTTCATAAGATGCCTCCAATGTGACCTTGTATAGCCATGGTACAGTTATCAAAATTAGGAGATCCTGATACTGGTGCACATCCCCAAACTATAGACTTTATTCCTATTTCCCATTATCCATTAATGTCCTCTTTTCTGTTCCAGGACTAGAGAGCACGCGCTAGTCATTGTGTCCCTGAGCCTCCTCTGATGTCTGACAGAGCCTCAGTTTTTCCTTGTCTTTCATGACCTGGATACTTTGGAAGATCACTGCCCAACTGTTTAGTAATTGGCATGTTCTCAGCGATTATAGGTTTTAAGGAGGAATTACAAGTGAAGGAGCTTCTCACATCACGGGGGCACATGGCCTCAGTGGGCTCACCATCTTCTTTTGGTGAAGGCAACATTTGCCACATTCTTCTCAATACATTGCCATCTCTTTTCACTGTCTTACAAGTGAGTCACTTGGCACAGGCTGCCCTCTGTTAGTAGGAAGGTAAGGTCCCTCTTGGAGGGAATGGTATCAGAGTTCAGGGACACCTGCCAAGACTATCCCAATAACAAGTATTTCACAGGTATACTTGAAGCTGTGCAAACAAAATCGTACATTCTGCCCATTGATGCTAACATTCTTTTTTTAAAATTAAGTTTATTGGTACATTTTAGGGATATAATAGTTACATTCCTCATTGGGATCTTACAGCTTTACATGACTTATTTTTTCCCATTCCCCAGCCCTCCCTTCACCCCCTCCACCCTTCCCTGTTTACATTGTTTCCATGTTTTTCCTCTTCTCATATTTTTTCTATTCTTTTTACCTTTTTCCCTACCCCTCCCACTTCTCTACTTTTAGATCTTTTTTTTCCTATTACACAATGTTATACATTTTTTTTCTGTGCAGAAAGTTTATTGTGCATATTTCCATATCAGTTACACATTTTGATCCTTATTCACACTTTGTTTTTCACACCAGAGAAATTTGGTATTTACACGTGTCTTACTAATTTCACTTGAGTATGGACTCGCTGTTATCCACTTAGCTATAAATGTCTCTAGTTTCTCATTCTTTATGGCTGTGTAGTACACCATTTAAAAACATCATCTTTAGTCTCCAGTTGATGGGCAGTTGGGCTGTTTCCAAGTTTTAGCTATTACAGACTGCCCCTATAAACATGGGTGAGCATATATCGCTGTGGTATGATTCTTTTCTTTTGGAAAGATACCCAGCAAAGGAATAGCTGGGTCACACCCAGCTCTAATCCTAGTTGATTGAGGTATCTCCATATTGATTTTCACAGTGGTTGTACCAGTCTGCACTCCCAACAAGAAGGGTTCCTATCTCCCCACAATCCCACCAGCATTTGTTACTGATTTCTTGATAGCAGCCATTCTTTCTGGGGTGAGATGGAAATTGTTTTCATCTGCATCTCTTGAATGACCAGTGATGCTGAACATGTTTTCGTATGACTACTGCTTTTACTTTTTTGTCTGAGAAATGTCTGTTCATTTCAGGTGCCCATTTTTTAATTGGGTCTTTAGATTTGTGAGGTCTGATTTTTTTTTTTTTTTGAGTTCTATATATATTCTAGGTAGTAGACCTTTGTCTGAGGAACAGCTGGTAAAATTTTTTTCCCCACATTGTGGGTTCTTAGCTCTGTTGGTGGTTTCTTTTGCAGTGCAGCTTTTTAAAAAGATGAGATCCCAGTTGTTGATTCTTTGTGCTACTCCTGTGCTACTGAAGATTTGTAGTCTTTTCATTCATCAGGGAACTGCCTATAGCACTTAAAACTGTGGTGTTTGTTCTAATAGTGATATTCTGTGTTCCATTTCTTCTACATTTATTTGTTGGAATTTCTCTATACTTTTTCCTTGTTCAGTCATCTTTTTAATGTGTGGATAGTTGGCATATGCCATTTTTTAAACAGAATTTCTTAACTTTTTGGTACATGATACCACAGGTTCTTTTATTTTTCCTATCTTAGGCTAGCATCAGACATTTCTCCAAGGAGGCTTGGCCTCATTTATTGGGGAATAGTGTTCAAAATTAAAATCTATAATCCCAGAATTCTGGGAGGCTGAGGCAGGGAAATCACGAGTTTGAGCCCAGCCTCAGCAACTTAGTAAGACTGGGTCTCAAAATTAAAACAAGGGCTGGGGATAAAATGCAGTGTAAATATCATGGGTTCATCCCCTAGTATCAACAAAACAAAACAACAAAAAAAACCAGGGTGAGATGGGCTTGCTGCCCCTGCCTGAATGGTGGCTATGGGCACCTCCCCAACATGAGGAACTAGGGCACGTCACACTTGCCACCCTGTGACTGTGCCCCTATCCATAGATGCTGCATCGCCAGTGTGGGGATGAGCAGACATGATGTGAGTTCTTACTGATTCAGTGATCCCAGCACTGGCATTCAAATGTTCCTTTTTCATTTATTTTTAACTGCTTATTCTGACATAAGACCTCGTTCTCACTGCTTATATTTACTTACATGTTGTACTCTATTACTCAAACATCTTCAGAACTGCTAAGCTTGTGAAATTTAGCACCTTGTGTATAGTTCCTTTTGCCTTTAGCTGTATGGAATGCAGTCAAAACACTTCAGTTATTTAGGCTAGTCCTTCTTTTGCCCACTACTTTCAGGGAGGTTATGTCACGTATTTACAATATGGGCAAACATTCTTCACACCCTGCACGCTACCAGAATTCCCCTACCACCCTGGCAGATTTTATTTCAATGTGCAAAGTCACTTTTTAATAGCACAATGTGTGGGTTTTATCAAATGCATACTTAGGCACCCACCACCACAGTGCCATAAAGAACCGTTTCATCACCCTGAAAACTCATCTGTCGCTCCTTCATGGTTGCTCCCTCCCCATCTTCCAGTCACTGGCCAGCAGTGATCCTTTTCTATCCTATAGTTTGCTTTTTCAAGTCCTACCCACTGCAGTACACTCAAGGTTCATCTGTTACTGCATGGATCTGAAGTTCGTTCCTACTTTACCCCATCACACAGATGCACTAGTTTGCCCGTTCATTTCTCTGTTGTGGGTGTCTGGGTGGCTTCTAGTTTTGGGTGATTTTGCCTAAATCTGCTTCAGATAAACATTCATGTACAAATGTAGCTTTCAGTTCATTTGGTGAAATATCTGGAAGTGGGACTGCTGGATCCGAATCAGCATATGTTTACCTTGGTACACGGTTCTCTTAGGGGCTTTTCTAGTTTGTATTCCTAGCACATAAGAATGATGGTTGCTGTGTATCCTTGTCAGCACTTGGTATTGTCAGCTTTTTAACTGAAGCCATTTCAGTGTGTAATGATATGCACGTATAGTTGTATTAATTTCCATTATTCTTATATTTAGTAAGTAATAGAGGATCTTTACACATATTTGTTCCCTATTGTATATCTTCTTTTGGTAAATAACCTGTTTGTATAATATGCTCTTTTTTTTTTTTTTTTTTTTTTTTTTTTTTTTTTCTTTTTTTTTTTTTTTTTGGTACCAGGGATTGAACTCGGGTCCTTGTGCTTGCAAGGCAGGCCACCAAACCGCGGAGCTAAATCCCCAGCCCCAATATGCTCACTTTTTAAATAGGGTTATTTTTTGTTAAGAGCTGGGCATGGTGGTGCACACCTGTAATCCCAACACTGAGAGGCTGAGGCAGAAGGATTACAAGTTTGAGCCCAGCCTGGGGAATTTAAGTGACTTAGTGAGATCTTGTATAAAATAAAAAAAATAAAGGGCTGAAGATAGTTCAGTATGAAAGCCTCAGGTTCAATTTCCAGTACTGTGGGGGAAAAAAGTTTTAAATTCTTTTTTCTGGATACAAGTTCTTGATGAAATATGTGATATGCATATACATATATAT